GCCTTGTGTAACCTTAGAATAATAATAAGTAATTACAGCCGTATATATAAAAAAAATAATGATGATAAACAACGATACGATACGATAAGATTATTTTCATTGAAAACAATCATCAGTGATATTTTTTTCTCACAATAACATTCCTGGACGAATGTCGGTTTTTATGGGACAACAAAACCGTTTATGACGTCATTATTGTTTTAGTAATAAGGAAATTCAAAGCGGATTACATTGTTGTTGTTTTTTGTCAGCAGTGGCGGCGACAATGCAATCGTCAAATAAAAATCTATTTAAGATTCAAAAGAATTTGTCTAAATCCGTAGTTGTTGTACTTCCGAGTTGTATAGAAAAAATTTATTTACGTGCTTCGATAATCTGAGTACAAAATAATGCAATCCGTCGTCTTACACCTCTGTACATTATATAATAATATTCAAAATGGCAAAATGAAATTTAAAATTTAAATGCACTGAAACTGATAAGGTAGAAACTTATACACAACCACTGACATAGTGTTAAAGATAACTGCTGTGACCTTAAAGTATATTAAAGTATAGGTAATATTTTAGTTTCTACCCAAGTAACACATAGACAATCATAGGATATTAATAGCATATTCGAAAAGAATATAAGGAATATTTATAGATTATTCTTCATTTTTCATTTCATTATCTACGAATGAGCATGGAATGTTAAAAAATCCACAAACGAGCCACTTTTAGGCATGTTATGAATATTCCAATTATTCAGAATAAATTATGAATCTTCCACAAGAATATCCATATCGTGTCTTAAATCATTCATTTAATAATAATGGAGTAATCGTAATTTATTGTTACCATAATAACCAATGAATATTTGAATGGGACACCCAATAGTAAGTTATTCTTTGAGCAACCAAATAACAATAAATGAATAATACTTATTGACTCTTACCCAATAGTTAAAGAATATTCCTAAAAATCCATTATTATTCTTATTCATAGAATATCCAAGCAGTGGCATATCTAGGAATTTTTTAGGGGGAGGGGGCTCATCTGTTAGCTATTACGTTCCAAAAATCAAAAAATTAGTGTTATACTGCAGCATGCTATTGTGAGTGATTTGTTTTATAGTTTAGTTATGGAAACAACCTATTGTCAAATGTATCTTATATTAATAAATTAAATTAATTGACTAGATAGTAATTTAAGACTTAACAAAAATTAACGCCTCTCAGACCCCATGGATACAACACTTTATCCAAGTAACAAAATTATAATTGTATGTTAAAATTGAGAGAACGTCAGCACAATATGTGTTTTTTCTCAGATATATAAGAACAGAATCATGGATGAAACGCATTAAAATTGTAAAATTGTTTTCTATGTTTTTGATTTATTTTGGAGTAAAATAATTATACAAACATTTTAGAGGATGATTTTTTTGAGGGTTTGACATGTTATGTTATTTATTTTATTATTAATATCTGACTTTAAAAAAATTAATTTTTTTTTTTTGTAAATTCAAATAAATTTTAAACATTTTTGAGACAGTCTTTAGTTTAGAGTTTTAGATAAATCACTACCTCAAACCCTAACATAAAAATTAAAATAACTAGGTAAAACATTTGTTAAAAAATAAATATCCATTATTATATACTTTGTATATTATATAAATCAATAAAACAAATTAGTTTATCTTCAACAGTTTCTATTTTATCTAGGTATATAATATCAAATATATTATTTAAATTGAATATTAAAAATACATAAATGATGCTGTCAACCTAGTTATTATTTATTTTTTGACCTTTCACTGGCTTTGCTCAGCCAAATGCTTGTTATGGTTTCAATTTCTTTAACTGATTTATCAGCCAAATTGCCAGTTGAATGTATAGCTTCTAAAATAAAACAAAGATAATTATACCATTACTCAAATTTGCATTATATTTTATTTGTATAAATGTATAATCATTTTCAACCTATCATAACAATAACTTATTATTATTTTAAATAATTATACAGAATTATTCAAATACATTAAAATAACTAGTTATTAATCTACTAGTTTGAATAGACTTTTAGTAATAAGAACTTAAATAACTTTTTAATATATTATTTATTATTTAAAAGTAATTTGAATTTATC